ATAGATTTTCTCCATGATGATCTGTCCTTAAAATGGTCTTCAGATCTTCCAACGGTGTACTCATCACCACTGTAACAGTCCATCTACCTTGCTGCTGGTCATCCTCTTCTCTTTCTTCCCACCTTTACCAGCATTAGAGCTTTCTCCAGGGAGCTACTGTAGGTTTTCACATAATGTGTCTGAAGTAGGATAATTTAAACCTGGTCATTTGTATCATTTGAGAACTCTGGGTTGATTTGTTCAATGATCCTTTTGTTTGTTTTCTTGACTATCCACAGTGTTCTCAGGAGTCTTCACCAACACCAAAGGTCAAAAGTGTCAGTACTTTTTCTATCCTGCTTCTTCAAAGTCCAACTTTCAGTTCCATAGAGTGTCACAGGGAATACCATTGCTTGTGTAATTTTTATCTATGTAGGTATAGACATATCACAGCATTTCAATATCTTTTCCAAGTCCTTCATAGCTGCTCTTCCACGTTCTAGTCTACTTTGTATTTCTTGACTGCTTGTTCCTTTATTGTTGATGGTTGATCCTAAAAGGCAGAAGCTATCCACCACTTTGATATCTTCATTGTCAATTCTAAGGCTGGTTGTTCTACCTTTTTCATTAGTCTGGTCTTCTTTAATTTTAGTCCCATTTTTTCACTGTGCTCCTTGACTTTTATTACTGGAGCTTGCAGATCCTTTGCATTTTCAGCTATAGATGATCTGTAGAGTAGATCAGATTTCTAGGAGGAGGTTATTCCAAAATATGAGTGTGCCAGTAGAAAGCCAGAGCCTGTGGGACTTTGCCCCCTTTACTTCCTAGAAGTAGGAAACTAGTAGGTTCTCACAAGATATAAGAGTCAGGCAGATGAGAACCATTTGAAGAGGACCATCCTGCAAATACCTCAGTCCCAAGTTATGTAGGGCTTTGAAGGCCAAGACAAGCAGTCTGAACTTCATTTGAACAACTATAAGAAGCCTGTGCAGGGCCTGGAGCACAGGTGTCACATGCTCATTCCACTAAGTTCCAGCCACTACCCAGGCTGCTGCATTCTGGACTTCCTGAAACTTCTAGATGGTTTTCAAAGGTAGCCCCAAGTAGAATGTATTGCAGTAGTCCTGACCAGTGGTTATGGGGGCATGAGTTACGTTTATGAAGTACTCATAGTCAGTGAGTTACAGAGAAGAGGTGGAATCCTGCTGTCCTCTTAGAAATACTCTGTGTTGTTGTTTAATTTCTCAAACTCTTGAGGAACCAACTGAGAAGGGAAACCCCCCAAAATAATTCCATCTTAGACATGGAAAATATGGTGCTCTGTCATTACAATGGATCATGTAGATAGGAAGTCTGTAGTGAATTTTGGCTAGTATCTTTTCAGGTTTATCCAGTGGCTATATATTTCTACCCCCCCCCCCCATGGTATTGTCTGTATACTTATCAGATATATAATTTGTCTAAAAACCCCATGATGATAAATCCTGTGTGAGAATTAATAACGATTTACTCCCATTATTCTGTTGATAATAATTTTATCAACTTTTCCCTCTAAGATACTTACTCTTTACTGAAAATTAATTAATCGTGCTGTCACAAGGTAGTTGAAAACTGAAGGTTTTTGTTTCTGTTTCTTCTGAGTTAAAAAATTCCTTTGTAATAGGTATACAAAATCATCTGGCAATTTTCCACTTATAGCTGCATCACCCATTATACTTTGTTGCCTAAGGGGAAAAACAAATACCAATGGAGATGTTGCCTCACTCTGCCTAATGATAGGAATGCCTGTTGTTTCTTTTTTAATGGTTTAACCATAGGTCCTTTTTGATATGCAGTTGTAAAGGACATATGTTGATCAACATATACTGACATGGGAGTAAGGAAAATGCTGATGAATAACAAAATGAAAGATAGACCAATATGCATGTACATAGAGAAGCTCTATCAGGCCCAGCCCAAAAACAACAAGGAAACAATCCAGCCAAGTTCAGTTCTTTATTGCTTATACCATATAGACAGAGTCTTGCCAGACTAAATCTGTACTATGCTAACCTACTAGATATACTCTGGGAGAATCTATCTTAAGTCTCTTCTTCATCCCATGCTCCTGCTCTGGACTACGTTGCCTCACACCTGTAAAGTACTCCCTCCTTCCTGAAAACCTGGGTCTCTACTGCATTTCATCACAAACTGCTAAGATAAAACATTGGTGTGCAAAATAACAAGCCAAATTAGTGTACGTTTTAAATTAGACTATTATGCAGTTTGGGAAAGAGTTGCAGTAAAGAGCTATTATGGAAAACTTCTTGTAGCTATCAATTTGCTCTCTGACTGCAGTGCAAAAGGGCAGCAAAATGCATAAATGCGGCAAAAAAGGAAAATAAATTATAGCAACTGATTTTAGTATCTGTTTCTTTTCTATAAAATTAATTTTATTGTAGCTTAGGGATTCAGACAGTTTTAACCAGTTACAGGTATTCTAATAAAGCACTATAACAGAAAGCATTTTAAGGATCTATCCTTATCATAAGCAACTTCAGTGCAAAAGCTATCAACGCGTACTGCCAATTTGGTTTATAGCTTTAGGCTCAACCTTTGCCTCCTACAGCAAAGCAGCATGTATAATTTTATTCTCTGGGGATAAAACTATGAAGCCTTCCTTTTATTTTTTCAGTACTGAAGGACCTGAGGATGCTAAAGTCCTTGATAGAGAGTAAATAGTTGGAGGATCAAGCTCAGACAGTAAAGCGTAGGTATAAGCAAAAAGAATAGCTAGAAAGCCATCAAATGATTTCAAGTAGATTTTTAAATGGAAATCAAAATAGTGCCTTTGTGTATTTTCAGTGGCTCTTGTGCCAGGAAGGACAAACTTTTCATACTTCTGCATCATGCTTAACATTTTTGAGATGTCCAAGGAGGACAAATGGGTGGAACCAGGGATTTCTGATTTTATTTTCCTGTTTTGGGGGAGATTTATTTATTTATTTGTTTGTTTGTTTGTTTGTTTGTTTGATTTCTCCCCCGCCCATCTTCCCTCAATGGGGGACTCTGGGCTGTTCACACAAAACATTAAAACCATAAATACATATAAATACATAAAACATAAAAATTAAAAAAAAACATTACAAAAAAAGAGGAAGAGGGTCCAAGAAGATGAAGGATCTGGGGCTGAAGACAGCAGGCCTCTATAGTTTGGTGATTTATTGTTTTTATAGTAAATATCAAAACAACTGGCAAAAGCAGGATAAGAGGCAAGCAAAAACAAGGGCAATGTAGAGGGCATAGGGAATGGCCTTGGAGGACAGGAGGAAGAGTCACTACCAAGGCTATGGCCAGATAAGCAGGCTTGAACCCGTTCAAAGAAACTAATTTGAGGAAATGTCTCAGAGAGGCCCCTTCCTAGTTCACATAAAGTGAGGGAAGAGGAAGCACATTCAGACTTGCAAGATTCTGTTACTCTAGTTGTTACAATAAAGTTACTTCTGACCATATGGCATTGGTTTCTTAGTCTGCCCTACCTTGTAGGGCAGAGAGAGAGAGAGAAAACAACAGGCAAGAATTTACATACTCTCTAATCTATATTACAAAGCACAGAACTTTCCAAATCCACTGAAAACTATACTGTGGCTAATTAGCACAGACAGTCCCAAAAAGACAGGCCTTTGGTTGTTCTAGCTTTAACCCCCCCCCTTTTTTTTTTTGGTATATAATAGCAGCAGAAAAGAGGTGGGAAGCTGCCAGCCTTCCCAGGTAGACCAGACAGGAAACACGGCCAGATGAGCTAATTCTACTTTACTGTAAGGCTACGTTAACAAAACCTTGCAAGCGTGAAAATGCAGTTTTCCTGTCTTCACCTTTACAGTCTGATAACTTAGGAAGGGTCCCTCCTGAGCCACTTGCTCTGCCCATTATGCAGCTATGGGCTAAGCTCCCTCTTATCTGACCATACCCTAGGCAGCATCTCTTCGCCAGCTCTCCCAAGGTCATTCCCACATACCATTACAAAAAGCAGGACACCAAATAACACCTCCTTCATTCTGCACCATGAAAGAAACAATTTGGGGATAATGTATCCAACAAATCTGTTACAGCAGAAACATTATCATCCAAAGACTTTTATGGTATCTTCATACATACATGCATATATCTTAAGTGTTTTGTGGATTAAAATTGGCCTCTTCAGATATGTGAATATTCTTTCTTAATAAGAGTGAAGTCTCTTTGAGTTGAACTTGACTCCTGCTGACTTCATAAGTATATTCAAGTAGTTTTCTTGGCAACAATAGAGAAGCAGTTTACAATTACAATTCTATATATACTTATCTAATGCAAATATTATTCAAATATTATTCAAGTACATATTTATTTCTAGTACATTTATAAATTACTAACCAAGTCTGACTTTGCTCAGCTTTTTGGTATCAACCCAAGCCTGTTAGGTGGGCCGTGTAACTGAACCTTCCTAAATAACAGGAAGAATATTGTAGATAGTGAGTTCAGAAGGAAAATACATATTAAATATTGTTAGTGATACTAACAGTGGACATTCATAAAACTGTTAAGTGATAAAATTAATATATTTCCATTAGAGAGCTGGTTAGAACATATTTAAGAGGTTTGTACTACATAAGTTGTCATACAGTAATAGTAACTACCGCAGTGTTAATACTGGCTGAACTACCATCTTTTGTCAAGCAGAGGGGATTGTGTCTTTGCCATAAGCTTCATGTAATTTACAGCAGTATTTATTCAATATATTGAGCCAGTTAAAGCCAGGTATATAATTATTCCTAAACAAAAATCTCAGTTTGCTTGAAAATGATAGAACTGCTCTTATATACCTTTCCAAATATTCTAAGTTAGATGACTCCACGTTTGTAGTGCAATGTTCAACACGTGCATTAAGAAATAAGGCCCCCATTTCTCCAGGGACATGAGCTCTGGATGCAGCTTCAACAATGCAATAATTTCTCTGTTCACCCAATTCTAACAGTTCTGGCTTTCCTATGTTTTTATTTTAGGTTATATTGAAGAACCTTGCACAGTACCTTGCCCATTTGACTGCAAATTAAGTGACTGGTCTAACTGGGCTCCTTGTAGTTCATCATGTGGGACAGGAGTGAAAATTCGGTCCAGGTGGCTTAAAGAGAAACCATACAACAGAGGACGTCCTTGTCCAAAACTGGATCCTAAGAATCAGGTGAGGTGTATGATAAAGCCAATATACCAATTTGGAGTTCATCAGCTATATCAAATTCATTCTTTGATCAAGACAACAGATTCCCTCTCATAAGAAAAGTCCTTCATCTGGTTGTGCAGTTTCCTTCAGCTATCTATTTTATTGCAAATGCATGATAGAATAGCTTAACTTTTGGAAGGTTTCCTTATTCACAAAACGATTACAACTCCATAAGACATTATTAATTAATAATAGCATATGTTGTCTCAAACCCCCAAATTACTAAGATTGGTCAGTGAGATCAGACATTGTGAATAATGATACTTAAAACTGTCTATGAAGCCTAGTTTTTTAAAACTATTCTTTGAAGATATTTCCCCCACTAATTCAATTTCACTCATTCTAATAAGTTTCTGTCTGACAATTACATGGTAATTTTCAAGTGTGTATTCTATTATAAAAGGATGCCAATATAAATGGGAATATTCAAATGGAAAATTAGGAGTAAAATATTTTTCAATTAATGTAATTTAATGTAATAAAAGAACTTTGCAGTTAATACAGATAGGAGAATATTTGTATCCATACAATTTAAAATGTTTAATGCTTTTTAAAGACTATTGAAACTACATCAACAATAGTCTTCATTTTTATGATTATTTTCTTTTAAATGGCCAATCTTGATTTATTCCACTGCTTTTTATATTTTTAACACAAATATACCTGTATCTGGAAGAGCTTTTTTAGTTTAGTTTAGAGTATCTTACGTAGGGCTGTGCAGAGTCTTCCAAAGAGATAGGAGTCCTTACAAAGAATTTATTTTTAAATGTTTGAAGTAGCCTTATTGTTTGCAAGGCTTATATGCCTGCTGTTTGAAAAGGTTTTCTTCATGGCCCCTTGCACTAGACACCTGTTTGAAAAGCTTGTTCAGCCCTAATCTTAGGTCCTCTGATTGCAATTTTGCTCTGGTCATTTTTTTGCGTAAGATCTACTATCCTGTACTAAACACAATCATATGTTAATACATTTAAGAGCAAGAAATATTTCAAGTGATGGCTTTCATTCCTAGGTTTAGTTCATGTGTTACTCACATATGATTCTCTCCATCTATCCCTCACTCTGTTGTGTCGAATAGTAGATGTGATGCTTAGCCAGTATGTGTAACTTTAAGCATAGCTATGTAACTGGGCAAACAGTTTGCTGATTGTAAAAAATTGTTGAGCATAGATTTTAAAAGCATATATGTATGTTGTCCCTCTTTCAAAGTAAAAGTTCTATGCATCAATGGAAAGCATGCAAACATTAGGGTCATCCTATGTTTGGTGAAGGATTAACTACTAGACTGTAGTTGTATATGACCATTAGACTGATTTGTTTTTGTGACAAATGACCAGGCAAACCCACTCGCAGTAATTCTTCATTGATCTAAGTCAGGGATAGGCAGCTATTGCTGCATTACAGCTTCAGCACCTTTCACCATTATCTGTGTTGGTCTGCCTTGAATGGAAGTTAAGCCATTTGTGGAGGGCTCAAGACTCCTCATGCCGTCTACATTCTAAGCCCAAATGTCAGCCACCCTAGATCATATGATCACAGCAACTCTAGATTGCTGGCTGCATAGCCAGCAAGTGTACCATCCAAGCCTACTCCAGCCTGTGGACTTGTAAATGTGATTAGCTTTGCCTTTCTGAATTTCTAGCCAGTGTGGCCATCAGCCATGCTAGCTGTGAATTCTGGAAGTTGTAGTCCAGCATATTTGGAGGGCATTAGATTGGGAAGACTGACTATACCTTTATTGTTATTCAAAACTTGCTTTGAATATGTGGATTCAACTTAGCCCTGATGTTATTCACAGTCTTTTCATTATGGCATGTGGATTTAGACAAATCTCTTGATTTTTTTTATTGACTTTCTCACATTAAAATACATAAGGAATAATACAGTAGAAACAAACCCCAAGGAAATATGATAGAGAATATTCAATAAGATAAATAATGCCCATTTCTCAAAACTTTCCTTCATGGAACTGAAAGATCACTAAATGAGTAAAATGAAATTCCACCATAAGTAATGTGCAGATCTCTTGAAAAAAATAGTGATCTATATTGTCAGCAACCAGAGTATCATATTTATGTGAAAATTAAAACACATTGCTCTTGCCAGCTTCTAATAACAAGTTTGCTTCAGCAGGTCTTTGAATAAAATTCTGAAAATTGCACTTGATTACTAATAGCTGGTAATTTTGTTTGCTTGTTTCTTTATAAGACTTATATGGCCACCCATCTCAGCATAATGGCATGTATAGACTTCTTAATATGGTTTACAAAAATAATATATAATGGTCCCTGATTCTTACACATTTTGTTTCAAAAGGCATAATCCCAAATGTATTTAGATATAATAGTGCAGAAACTTGCTAGCATGTTTTTCCCATATTTTAAAATTGTGTATTGAAAAGAGTTATAATTTATTTTACAATTCATGCATAGTATGATATTTCCTTCATAATAAAAAAGCGAGTGCTGTATGTTGTTAGTTATTGAACTCTTTACATTTGTTACTGTTTTAAATTTTTGCATCTGATGTGGAAGTTGACTAGGAACTCATTGTCAACTTCAGGATGAGAAAGGAAAGGAAAGCAATTTCAATTTGTTTCTAATGAATTTGTTATCCCAGTTGTTTTTCTTAGTGACATTTCCTAGTATTGCTTATAAAAATTACAAAGTACATCATAATATGAAATGTCCAATTTTTTTGGTCAAAAAGAATTCATTTTTGTGTGCTTTTTGACACTCTTGAATGCAGTGCATTAGTAAATCCCACTCCTTGTGATTTAAAACAGGGCTTTTAGAAGTTATGCTTATGCTCCATTTTCATTTGATAAAATGGACTATTATATCCTGATATCTAGATAAAAAGATAAAAGGCTGTGCCTGCTGAATGAGAAAAAGTCATCCGTAGCAAATAAACTTAAGTATCTGTACCTCAATTGTACCATAACACGTGGAGGATAACCCTGGCTAGATATGGCTATCAAATTTGCCCATTTCAGCGAAGTCATCTGAAATGGCTTTGTAGTAGCCTATTTACCAGGGAGATGTTTCTTCTAAGTAGATGTACCAGAAATATTTGTTGGCAGTTTTTCATGAATGTCTTCCTCAACATTTAATCTCTTCATTATCCATTTTATGGATATATACATACAGCATATATGATTCCATTTTGGTTCAATTAATTTGGGCAACATTTTAAAGATATTAGTTCCTTCCTTAAACTCTCCAGCAGACAGTATCCCGTGCTGCTGTATTCAGTTGTCTTGGGCATCATAAATCAGCCTGACAACAGCTAACACTGAAACTGAACTTATTCTAACATGTCTAGGGTGGAAAGGAGCAGAGCAGATTGATGCCTTGCCTGCCCTTTGGCAGACAATTTAGTCTTTTTTTCTTTCTTTCTTTCTTAACTTTTTCAGAAATACACTCAGAGACTTTTAAATTATACACACACCCTTTGTAAATATTCAGGTTGCTGTGCATGCTGGCATCTGCAGGTGTCACAGCATGACTTATAACTGTGATCAGTTTGTCTTTTCCTCAGCTTGATTCACCCAATGTGTGGGATTGGCCATCAGTGAATTTAATGTGCAGTTCACAAAAATAAAGAGAAAATACTAGTTCTGGAAGAGACACAAGTTTCAAATAGATCGGTTGAGTTACTTGCAGTGCTTAATTTTTCAGGTACCTTTATGTCCATGATAGCGATGTATCCAAGATTGGCAAATAAGTCAGGTGGCATGACTTTAATATCCTCTGTTCTTTGCCATAAATATCAGCACAACTGACCTTCACAAAATCATTTTCACTTAGTCTAAACTCCATTCCTTAGGTAGTTGAAATGTCATGGGATAGGTCAAGAGAGAGAATACAGAGCCCAGTGGCTTTCATTATTTCTTTTCTCTCCGGCCATGTGAGATCAAGTGCTACACTTGTATAAAACTTCTCACTAAGGTACAGAGTTCTGTGGTTGAAACCAAAGTGGCAAGGTAGTCAATAAATTTTGGACTTTTATGAAGCAGCTGAGCTCTTCATGGTGGAGGGCACGCAATTCTCAAGGTAAGCAAAGTAGTTTGTCTGAACAAGACGCTTCATGTTGCTCTGAAGCATCATCAGCTACTGGTTCTAGTTGCTGGAGGAACTGAGTATTTCCTTGAGTGAGATGACAGTTCTATACTGCATCTATACAGAAGCCTCTTCTGGTTATTGGAGCTGCTGAATGAGGCATCTGAGTAATAAGGATCAATGCAGCAGATTCAATTCGCTTTTTAAGACAGCTGCAGCAGCTTTAAGGGGGTGCTTTGTACAAACCTACATTGAAGTGAAGCTTTGCATAACCTTAGTAGATTGTCCTATCTAATAGAATGATTGGTTTTAAATTCCTTCGAATGTTATGCTTGTATGTTAGGCCATATACTAGCAGAATATTATAGCACTGATTGGACAGATTATTCAAGTCTTTCAGAAGCCTTAGAAAATAAGATACAGTGATACCTCGGGATACGAACACCTCTACTAACGAGCTTTTCGGGTTACGACCAGCCCCGGCCGCAAAAATTTACCTCGATGTGTGAACTCCGCCTCGGGGTACGGTCATTTTTACGCCCTGACACGTGGTCCGCGGCCGTTCTCCTGCCGCGGTGCCCGGCCGTTCTCCCGCGGCGTCCGGCT